CTGATATCATGAAAAAATTGGAGAAAACGGTGCGGTCCCACTAACATGAAGCGCATCATAAGCGGTGAAAGCCCATATACGGAGCTGGGTGCCCAAGCCATACTAGAAGTAGGCTCCCATAAACGGATACGTGGGAAAAAACGGGCACGTCATCACACGGTCCCAATAGAACCGACTCTGATACCATGTAAGAAACTGAGAGAAAATGGATGCGGTCCCACAAACATGAAGCACACCATGAGAGGGAAAAACTCATACGAAGCCAAGTGGGATTTCATCTCAAAACCAATTGGCAGAATGAGAAGTAACCCATTAGACTTATAAGGTCGGTCTATTTTCCATGTATGAACGATGTAGGACAACTCACAAGTGAATATTCTAATATGACCCTCACTTGTGAGTCATTAATAAGAAAGCCCAAGCCCATATACCGAATGGGTGCCCCAAGCCTACGAGAAGCATACTCCCATAAGCGGGTACGTGAGGGAAAATGGGTACATCATCGCATAGTCACTTGTGAGTCCTAATAAGACTTATTTTAATAGAAAATGAAGGAAAAAACTTATTTTAATAGAAAATTATTATTAATATAACTCGGATTCAAGCAAGAAAAAAAAAATGAGTTAAAGATATTTGAGTGATTCTCGTCTATTTGTGTATTTTTAACGAGTTAAAGATGAGTCAAGCCAAGTCGAGTCTTGAAAATCGAACTACAACTTGAAAGGTAGTGAAAAATTGAGTTCGGCTGGATAAGACTAATGCTCGATTGAACTCAAAGAGACCAAAGAAAAAAATATTTAAAATTCACAAAATAAATTCATATGGAAAAAAAAAGTTAAAAAGTTATTATTTAAAATGCATAAAATAATAAAATATGTTCTCGTGACCAAGAAAATCAGTTCTTAACCATAAGCAGAAAAGCACACATTCTCTGTCTTCCTCTGATGACCAGTTCTTACAAGTTCGAACATATTTCCCCAAGTCAACAGTTTCCTCCATGGCCAATCACCAGATTTGCAGACACACACAGATAAACACACACTATATCTTCGTCTAGTTCATCTTCCTCAATCTCCATTAGCAATGCTTTAAGCTCTGTTGCCCCTTTTGTTTTTTTTTTCTGCAATTTTAGTGCTTAAAAATCGAATCTTTATGCACATAACCCAATGAAACTCTTCTTCTTCCTCATCCTCCACATCCTAATCGGCTCCACCGCCGGCATCCCACTCGGCTCCACGCTCTCCGCCGCCGACCCCAACTCCAGCTGGCGCTCGCCCAACGGCACCTTCTCCCTCTCCTTCATCCCCGCCACCGCTCCCGCCGGAACCCTAATCGCCGCCGTGACCCACAACGGCGTCCCCGTCTGGCAGGCCGGCCCCCCCGCCAACTCCTCCGCCGTCCTCCGACTCCTCCACTCCGGCGACCTCCAGCTCCTCCCCTCCCCCACCGCCTCCGCCACTCTCTGGTCCTCCGCTACCGCCGATCTCGGCGTCTCCGCCGCCTCCCTCGACGAATCCGGCAACCTCGTGCTTACGAACTCCTCTGGCGGCGCCGTCTGGTCGAGCTTCGACCACCCGACCGACACCATCGTCCCCGGCCAGCCCCTGCGCGTGAACGGCGCGCTCTCCTCCGGGCTCTACTCGTTCAGGCTCCAGACCAATGGGAACCTCACCCTCTTGTGGAACAACACCATCGTTTATTACAACTCAGGTCTGAACTCCACCTCAAACTCCAATCTAACAAACCCAGTTCTTGAAATTCAATCCACCGGGATCGTCACTCTCTCCGATCCAACTCTCTCCAGCCCTCGATTCTTGGCGTACAGCAGCGATTACGCCGAGGAAGGCGAAATCTTGAGATTCCTTAAACTAGACAACGATGGGAATTTAAGGATTTACAGCTCGGCCAGAGACAGTTCGACTGTAAATGTCCGGTGGGCCGCCGTAGGCGATCAATGTCAGGTTTACGGCTATTGTGGGAACATGGGAATTTGCAGCTACAACGAAACGAACCCGATTTGCGAATGCCCTTCTCAAAATTTCGACTTTATCGACCCTCACGACACCCGAAAGGGGTGCAGGAGAAAAATTGAGCTTCGAGACTGTCCCGGTCGAGAGGCCATGCTCCAGCTGGATCACTCTCGGTTCATGACTTTCCAGCCCGAACTATCATCTCAAAGATTTTACGTGGGCATCACGGCTTGTCGGCTGAATTGTCTCGTGGGGTCCGCCTGCACGGCCTCGACTTCGTTATCTGATGGTTCGGGCGAATGCTACCTAAAGCTAACCAATTTTGTAAGTGGCTTTCGTTCGCCGGCCATTCCAAGCACCTCGTTCGTGAAAGTCTGTCAGCCCGTTTTGCTGCCTGACCCTTCTCAATCATCATCTGATAACCAGACGAAAAACGAGTGGAGAATAAGTGCTTGGCTTGTAATTGTGGTGATTCTTGCCACGATAATCGGGTTAGCAGCTCTCGAGGGCGGCTTATGGTGGTGGTGCTGGCGGAATAGCTCGAAATTCGGTGGGGTCTCGGCCCAATACGCGCTTCTCGAGTACGCATCGGGTGCGCCAGTGCAATTCTCTTACAACGAGCTTCACAAGGCGACCAAAAGGTTCAAGGAGAAGCTCGGTTCGGGCGGATTTGGAGCAGTGTACAAAGGAGTTCTTGCAAATCGAACAATAGCAGCCGTGAAGCAGCTAGAAGGGATCGAGCAGGGTGAAAAACAGTTCCGAATGGAAGTTGCCACTATTAGTAGTACACATCACTTGAATCTTGTTAGGCTCATCGGTTTTTGCTCCGAAGGCCGGCACAGACTTTTAGTTTACGAGTTCATGAAAAACGGGTCGCTCGATAGCTTCCTCTTCACGTCCGGGTCGGGAAAGATTCTAAATTGGGAGGCTCGTTTTAGCATTGCCCTCGGCACTGCAAGAGGAATAACGTATTTGCACGAGGAGTGTCGGGATTGTATCGTGCATTGTGATATTAAGCCTGAAAACATACTTCTCGACGAGAATTGCCATGCTAAAGTTTCGGATTTCGGGCTCGCGAAGCTCGTGAACCCGAAAGACCATCGGCACCGAACTTTGACGAGCGTGCGGGGGACGAGAGGTTACTTAGCTCCCGAGTGGCTTGCGAATCTTCCAATAACGTCTAAATCGGATGTGTTCAGCTATGGTATGGTATTGCTGGAGATCGTGAGCGGGCGGAGGAATTTCGAGGTCTCGTCCGAGACGGGCCACCGGAAGTTCTCGTCTTGGGCGTATGAGGAGTTCGAGAAGGGGAATTTGGAGGGTATTTTGGACAAAAGGCTGGAAATTGATGAGGTGGACTTGGAGCAGGCGAAGAGGGCTGTTCAGGTGAGCTTCTGGTGCATACAGGAGCAGCCATCACAGAGGCCACCCATGGGGAAAGTGGTGCAAATGCTGGAGGGAATTTTAGTAATTGAACGTCCTCCGCCGCCGAGGTCCGTGGTAGCTGTGGTGGAGGGGTCCGCGGGAGAGACGAGCACAGCGCCGAGCAGCATTTTCTCGACTGGCGTGGCGGTGGGGTCCACTTCATCATCAATGCACACGGCGAAGTGAGTTATTTTTTTTATTATTTTTTTTTTTAAATAATTGTGATGTAATTTTTGGGTGATGATTATTGTGGAAAGTGGAAACACAATGCATATGTTTGTATGCAAAAACTGTTCTTTTTCTCATTTCTTGTAATGTTTTATTTAGTTGAATTGTTTTTTTTTTTTTTTTTTTTTTT